GTAGGTTTTGAGAGTAATGGCTCGACTCGGAGGTGCCGCTGCCGACGATCTGCAAAGCTACTGCGTCGACTGTCGGGATGGGGCGGGCCCCGCTGTATATCTCCGTACAGAGATGTGGCCACACGTTTCGAATAATTGGATGTATCGAGCGCCTCATTTGTCCATTCGTTGACTGTTCTCGTCCATTCGCGATCCAGAGGATCACCATAACGGTGGAATGTATTGACGATGAGGGCGAAATAAATCACGCCTAGAATGAACACGGCGGTGAGTCCAATTCGAGGGCCAAGAGCGGCGCGAGGGGATAGAATGACATCAGCGACATCCTGTGATGACCCGCTCAACCATATGAACGACATTATGCAGGTGAGAAATGTGATTATAGACCTATGAGCAAGTCAGTGGGCGGCGAAGGAAAGAATACATGTTTTCTGACCAAGCTAGCCAGACGGCGGGCTGAAAACAACTATCAATTAACGAAGGTTCGTGTGTGGATAACCAAGCTCACCATAGCGAGAAGTACCCAAATATTCCACCAGATATTCGCAGATTGTTTTTGAGCCTCCTATTTGAAGAATTGTCGTTACAATGACCTCCATGGGGCTGGGTACCTACGTTGGCAAAACTGCTGGCCTTGTGCATCTTACGCATAGTCCCAAATCTGATGATGAACATGCAGCCGTACAAGAGGCTCATCAGCGCACAGAGAAGCGAAAACAGCGCCGACGTGCGAGTGATTGGGTGAGAAGCTGCGTCAATTTGGAGCATGGTCAGGATGGCTCTATTTAGCAAGTTAGGAATGACTCGAGAGTGCGAGTAGGCCACGTACGACATCAACAAAACTGAAATTATGTTCAGCGTTTTCCACTCGCGCAACAACGAGTCGATGAAGTTCTCCCATGACGATCGGAAATGGAGGAGACTTCGCGGGAGTGGCATTTGATCTGGAGCAGCCGTAGCTGGCGGCCATATCGTATCTTGAGAATGATCCCACTGATCAGCCCTTGCGCGGGCCATTCGTTTGATATCCGGCAAACTCAGTCGGGCGTCTTCAAAGATACGAGTGACGCGAGAGAAGTACAGCGCCGGGACACGCAGGAGAAAGTGTAGGTAAAACTGCGCCGGGATGAACTCGAAAAGGATGAGCACCGCGATTGTCACGAGACTTCGGGCGGATGCCACAGAAAAATTGTGCCCCCGCCCGCTGCTGGTGACAGGCGGTGGTAAGCCACTCTCCGACTTTGTATAGAGGTCTTGTATCAATGAGATTTGCGGGAAATCGTACGGCGTTGGATTTGCGGGCCCTCCTGTGCCTCCTTCGAACCTGTGGATCTCGGACGTTGGCTTTATCACTGGCTCGGGACGCCGAGGGTGATGCATGGCCTCGTATGAGCCATTTTTCTCCGAGCGGGAGGGAGGTGGAGTTCGGAGTACAACCGAATCCTGTTGGATTGACGATGCTGCTAAAAGTGGTGGCTCCGGTGCGTTCTGGTAAATCGCTTCCACGGTTTGCAGGCGTCTTCTGTTTGTCCAAAAGAGATGTTACTATACGAATGAAGGACAGAGATACAAAACATACCCCCTCCGCAGTGTTTTGGGAGTGGATCGATCCACAAAGCATTCGCGTCCCTCAGTTAGACACAACATGCATCGCTCGGCCCCTGCTTGAAACTCGCATTTCACCCGCAACATTCTGCATCGCGTGCAAGCAATTGGGAGACGTTTCCTACATTTACGTTGAGACATCAGAAGTGAATAAGCAAGATGCACATACGGAGCATTTGCAGATTCTGCAGGTGCTGAGACGTCCATATCCTCTTCTTCACCTGCGCTGACCTTGGAAGAGGGTGATTCCTGACGTTCTAACGGCGGCGTCGTCTGTTCTGTTTGCCGGGGCCGACTAATTTTGGCGTTCAGTCACTATAGAAGCGGAGAATAAAGAAAAGAGACCGACCCGCTACGCGCTTTTCGACCCTCGACAACGCATTCATACCCTTCATTTAGACACAATATGCAGCGCTCAGCTCCAAGTTGAAACTCGCATTTCGCCTTCGATTTCTTGCAGTGCGAACAAACACCCGGAAGTCGACGCCTACTCTTCGTTGAGATAGCCGAATTCATTTAAAGAAAATAAACGTACGGCGGGGAAGCACCGATGAGTCCTGAGGGTGGTGGGACTTTTTCACATATTTCATCGTCACTGTCGGTGGCGTCAAACGCACCCTCACCTGCATGGCGTATTCTGCGCCTTTGAGTTAATTAGTGACGAGTGATTGGAAACGAGGAAAATTTGACGCACGATGTACCACGGCCTGGAATCATACAATTGCGTCCAGCATTCAAGCATTGCAAGCAGCTGTCTGCCCCCAGCTGAGATGTACATTCCACCCTCAGTTCTTCGCAATACCCACAAGCTTGCGCACTACGATGGTCAGGTGGAAGTCTCTGACCATGGGTGGTCGGATGGCTTACTGTGAAGATGTGATTACTGTGGTGTCCCTCCTCTCAGGCTCTATGATGGCAGGTTCGGTCTCAGAGATAGGTAGGACCACACTACCCCGAGCTTCCTGTCCCGCTGGCGCTGCAATTGGTACATCTTCAAGCGAAGACTCAGCACGTCGACTAAGCAAGCGGCTAGGAGGATAAGGAGGGGATGGCTCGCTATTTGAGGGAGCCGGCTGATGCTCAGCCAAACGTGCACGCCAATTCCATCGACTTTCGAAGGGGTTGATGCCCACAAACAGCGGCTCCGGAGGAGGAGGGTTTTGAATGAACTGCCCCGGCTGCTCAAGGTGTCGAGAAGCGCTAAAGCTCTGATCTCGAATTTGGGTTGGCCTGTATTTTGCCCAGATTGCTCGACCACCAGTAGAACGGTTTGCCATGACAGACTAAGTTGAGGAACAAAGGTGAAGCCAGCAACGGATGGGAAGTCTCCCGCGCACTCCGCGTGGGCAAAGCAAGGTGCGGCAGACCCCGGCCGATGTTGGACAAGTAGAGAAAAGCCTGACTTTCCGCACAGCAGTAGGAGAGTTCACGAGCATTGTGCATCCACCTAGCCAGAAAAATTACAAAACCTGGGCAATTGCGACGTGCCCTTGAATAATTGCTTGAGAAATGTGTTGCAAGGAGCGTACCTACTGAACTGGACGCGGCCAAATCGAAAGCAAGTTCATCATCATTGTACCTGTCGACGCAGCGTTCTTCATGCGACCATTTTCTTAGGAATTCGGACGGGTGGAGATCCTATCAGTGCAATTCTCTGCGGTCGTGTAGCATTTGCGTAAAGAGTGCATCAAACATTCGGAGTGTAGATGCAGAGTCGGAGGTAAAAACGTTCAGAACCGTAAGCTCTGATCAAATTTTCCCACACCTCCTATCTTCTGACTCTCCTCTCCTCCATCGACATCGTCTTCGCCCGATTCGCCAGCGCGTCTTTATCGACTCAGATCGCTGTGTGTTACCTTCTGTTTCGTGGCCACCTTCCAACTCGTAGTACCTCGCGCTCTGCCTTGTTGGCAGTCTCCAAATCGGAATCGAAGCTGACTCGTCTGTCAGCCTTCATATATCTGCTGGACCGCCGTGCCGGCCTGCGGAGGCCTGCATACGCCCCCCCCTGGTCCCCGGCTGAGGTGCAATGCGCTGCCGCTGCGTATCTTCTTATCTCCATGCTAGCACAGGGCGGGCGTGCGTGAGTGCTTGCTGGCTTCGAGAATGCGGGGTACAGGCCACCCGCGATGCGACGGTCGCGAAGAATGTACCTTGCCGTTCGCATTCTCTCCAAGGCTAAACCATCCGTCTTCCTTCTCCGCTCCGCACCTCGGTCTCAACTGTCCACGCTTCAAGTTAAATCACCCAACTCGCCCTTTCCCGCTCGCCCTCAGGCCTCACTGGCAGCGTCTTCTCGGTACCTCAAGCCCAATGGTGCCAAAATTTATGCAAGATGCTTTGTCCGTTTGCCTCCCTCGTCAAACCCCTTCAAGCTTTCTGCTACTTCCAACTTCAAGCTGCTATCTCACAAGCAATGCTCCAAGCCATGTCCTTTCTGACACCCAAGATATTGCTTCCAAGCTCTAATCCCCGAAAAGAACTCCACACCCCTGCGACTCCCTTGTCACCTCCGTATCCCGATCGTACAATCCTGCAGCTCCCCCTCTCAGTGTATGGCGGCTACCAGGCCCCTTCAAACTCATCATACATCTCTCAAGTCAAGTGGAGATCCGGCACTTCCTTATACTCTACCAGTAAACAAGGGCTCAAGGTGGCCTTCAGGCTGCTCAAGCCTAGTCCCTCGAAGCCAGACTTCAACACTTTTGACCTCGTACCTCGATCGTGTTGAGCTCAAGCCAGTTTGCTGCCGAGTTCAATCCTTGCTGCATTGTTCTCAAGTCAAGCGGATATATCTAGCAGTTATACTTCATCTGCTCAGGACCAAGCTGACCGCTGTCGAAGTCAATACACTGACCAAGCACATCGACAACACAAGTATGCAATTTGTCCTGACTCTCCTACTGACCTCAAGATCAAGAGACGTTTCAAGTACAAGCCGTGCCTTCAGCACCTGCACGCCAGGATGTCCCCCAGCCAAACAATTTCAATGCTACACTGGTGTCATGAACCTCTACCCATTGAAAACAAGGGCTCCATAGGTGGCTTCCCTGCGTACAGTACTAGTACTAGTACTGGGGGTGTTTGTGCATATAAACATCTCATCTCTTTGAACCATCTTCGTATAGAATAGTCATGATTCCGAGTCTGTAGTAGCCATGGCCATGCCGTCGAAGTTTCCGTTGTGTGATTCAGACGGGTACTGACATCAAGAACGCCTCAGTGCACACCGAAGTTCCTTGTCCCACAGTCTGTTGACACAACATTCTAGAAGAGTTAAAACCGCACAAGATATCGAATTGACGCCATTTCTTAAGCCCTTTGGGACAGGTAAGCATGTGAGAATAGAATGGACGGTGGAATCGGCAAAAGAAAGCGATTAGAATCAAAAACGATGCCCACTAGCTGATTCGAACAACTGATCTTGTCATGATCTCGGATAGGAGGCTTACGTAATTCTCCGATGTACGAGTGACACGCCTTACCACTGGGCCAAGCGGGCATTGAATAGCTCTCCATTATTCAGGTGTAGAGCTGGAGAAGAAGCTGCAGTGTTGGAATCATCCAAATCGAATCAAAACTGCGAAAGTTATCGTTTTTTCAAGATTTTGAACGGTATGGTGGTTGTTTGATGTGTGTTACGTGTCATAGGAGATGGGGAGGGGTGTACGTATAGGTGGTATGGCTGGGGGAATCTCTGTAGTTGCAGGGGAATCTTTTCTTAGCTATTCTTTGAGTTTCGCGATTTTGGCATTATTGGACCAAAGACACCTTATTTCTGATTGAAAAAGCAGCAGAGGCATTATATACCTTCCTGTTAGACTGCAGAGTATAGGACGTGAGATGATATACAAGGATTCCCCCAGTAACTGCAAGCAGAGCGGATACAGCCGATAGCGGTAAGATGTCTGCAAACCGTGATTTGTGGATGTATTTTTGCTTGTCAGTAGGCCTTTATTGGGAGGTGCATTCAGTGGAATATTTGTCCTTGACACTCAGCTCAAGAGGCACACGGTAATTGTGCTGTTCAGCTCAGCTGTTTGAGCTCTGACGATCAGTTGATCAAATCGCGATCGATCACGTAAGTGGCTCGATTCGTCTCTTCACCACCACACCATTAGCCTACATGTACACCGTATCGCCCACGGAGCCAAACTCTCGTTGGTTTCGCACCATGTAGATTGAGCACGAGCACAGAGCAAAAAATGTCGGCCAACAATACACCTTAGAGCTCTCCCCAGAGAAGCTCGCAGACGGACCCGAGTACGGCCGACAAACATTGTAAATGTCGACTTGCAAGGTCGCAATATCTTTGTTGCCTTGCAACATAATGGCCCGTTCGAGCATTCACCATTCATCTCCGGCTGTATCTTGTGGTGCCTACTATGGGGCGTCGTGCAACCCACCATTCTCCTAAGCTCTGGCTGCGCATCTTACCCTCTTTCGGAAGACATCCCAACGGGTTTGGGACGTTTTGTGCCCGCTCTCGGGATCTTCGACGACGTGGACTGTGAATCACCCAAACAGTCAACTAATTCCGATTCTGTGTTAACCCTGCTGTCTAATTGGCTTAACCTCTCAAATATTGCACCTACCACAACCCTGACCGAATACGCATCTCCGTCTTCTGGTCATCGTGGTGAAAACCATGAATTCATGCAAGAGAACAAGTCCAGGGACAATCTTTCGAAACAAGAGGCGACTTGAGAATTCAGATAAAGTTCACTGGTTCCAATTTTCTCAACGGCACCAGACCCCGGAATACGGCTTCTTGTGCGCAGCTCCCCTCCAAATCTCTCGTTTCCTCAACCATACCATTCGCATTATCATCGAGTAAACTTCCGGAAGACAGATACGAGGGTCTTCCCGGTATAATGAACATATTCGCAAGGCAGAGGTTTGCCGTCCAAATTCCCCGTGGTGAAACGACTCTCTCGTTGATTGGGTGAAAAAGAGTAATAGTGTGTGGCTATGGACTTTCCTTCTTCATTCAAGCGTAGCCTTGGATATGCGATTGGTTCAGTGTACCGAGAGATCCTTCACCTGAAAGTACGAGTTTCAGCTCTGCGCGACCGCTATGACGAGTTGTTCGCGCGAGATATTGGGTTCCATCTCCCTCAATCGCTGCTCACAGGTGCCAATTCTCGTTGCGGTGACTCTTGCAGAAGTACGTTGAATTTCTATGTTCACGCCCCCGTCTGCTAACTTGGGTCGTGAGAGAGGTGTCACCGTAAGGTGGGCACCACTATCGCAGCGACTGGCGCGATCGTAGTAGGTACGATAACTCTTCTGATTAGGAACACAATACATCCTTGCATCCTTTCGAGTTTACCTATTTGCATCGGGGCCCTGTGAACACGAGCTGGCTCTCGACCTTCCCAGGAAAAAGGAATCATTATTTCGATCCTATGCATAGTACATTGTTTCTGTGTTTGTGTCTAGTGGTACATATGAAGAAAGCCCACGATAGCATGAAGTGGGCCGATTTTAAGTTGGTTGTGTAAAAATACTTGGTGTGGTGCCATGACCCTGTAGCTATCTGACGAGCAAGGTCTCAATGCGTGTAGTGACGACAGCGAAGCCGATATCTGGAATCGAGAGCACGGTCTCGACGCGGGTCCGGTGAGAGTTTGGCATAAATACGATGCAACGGAAGGGTCTGTTCGAGTCGAGTCGCATCGCGACTCTCACGACCCAGCAGCACGCGCCGCCTCGACACCCCTTCCTCGCCCACGTCCACGACCATGCCCGCGCTGTTGCTCCTCAGCAGGTGCGATGACTGCAACGATGACCGAGATGTCTGCAGAAACCATCCTCGTCAGCACTCTGGCAAGTAAGAATATATGAAAAAAGCAACACACTCACCATCGCTCTTCCCTCCACGATACGCCCTCCCACTCTCCCTCGCCCGCCTCGCGAACGGCGTATCGTCCTCCTCCGTCCACGGTTCCTCAAGGAGCGTAGGGAGCGAACTTGCGGCTATGCCTCCACTGGCGACGCTCGTACTTGGAGTCGAGACTGAGGTAGAAGCTGAACCCGAAGCGGACGCAGATCCAGGCAAACTGCTGGAAATAGCAGCACCCGAACACGCCCTCCACCTCTCCTTCCCCGCCTTCCTCGTCGCCACCCGCCTCGCGCGCGAACATAGCGCCTCGCTCAACATTCCCGCTAGCGTTTGTCTCCGCAACCTGGCCGTGTCCACGCCATGCTTGCCCACTGCCTCCGCGGACGGCGTTGTGGTGCCTTCAACATCAATCTCAAATACCTCCTCACTCGCCTCCAAAAGCTCGCTGCCGCCAACAACCCCCCTCACCCGCCTCACCTCCTCCAACACCTCCTCATCCCACAAGTTATCGCTCAATCCATCGCTCGCGAGGATCACAATATCCCCCGCCTTCACCGGCAATGTGAAGAGGTGCGCCGCAGATGACGGTGTCACCTCCACTTCCACCTTCCTCTCCTTCTCGGACGCAGACGCAACAGCGTGCCACCACCCCTCCTTACTTGCCTTCGTATGTTCTGTTGGGGGTACCGGAGCCTTGGACGACGACGCCGGCGCCGCACTCAACTGCACCGGTGTATTCCACCTCCACCACATCTCCTCACTCCGCCACGCAACCTCCTCCCCTCTCACCAACATACCCACACAATCGCCCACATGCGCGATTTTGAGAACAGGTGTCAACTCTGCCTCCCCAGCCTTGGCATCGAGATTCGTCTCGCTCGAGGCAGCTGCACCCGAAGAAGGCGTCGAGGCGGTAGGGCCGCCGACGAGGGTACCGTCCACCTGCCCCGCAGGCACGTAGTCAAGAACAGCCACAAGCGCGGTGCTACTCCCTGCAAGGAGCGGGATGGTCTTGGGCTCCTCACGCGCCATCAATAGCGAGGACGAAGCCAATGGCATCTTCGTTGGCAGAGACGATGGAGCAGCTGTTGTCGATGGGAGTGTTTGAGGAAACGAGGTGGAAGAAGGCGCAGGTACGACATGCGCATGTAACGTCCTCTCGTACGCCCGCTCTAAAATATGCAGCACATCAAGTCCATCGGCGAGCTCGTCCAGTTCTGCGGCGAGTGCGTCTGCAGGTGATAATGACTCGCCCTCCCACTCGGGTGCAATATCCGCGTCATACTCCGCCGCCGCGTCGAAGGAAGAGGAAGAGGGCGCGAATTCTGTGACCGGAGACCGCCAGGACTCGGGCGGTGTCCATGATGTCGGAAGCGGAGAGAGTCCTGGATCGGAGTAAATCGCAGCTGAGGCAGGATATGGTGCGAATCGATTGTTGTAGGCTGACCAGGGTTTGACGGCTGGGACTGCTTGGGGAGTTGACTGTGAATGCAAGGAGGGATGGGATGCTCGATCGACTTCATCAGCGCAGAAATGCATCAGTCTGCGCGCAAAGAGAGCTGAAGCGCTCGGGCCAGAAGGTGGAGCTGCAAACGAAATAGTTAGCCGCCATACAGCATAACAGAGGAAGAGCGATAGCAGAATCATATCAGGAAAAGTTGAGTCATCCCACCGAATCTGTGACGGAATTCATGGGTTTGGTGTGTGCTTAAACCGAAACAGAAACTGTGAATTTGAGATCGTTTCCGTCTCGACCCACCACACACCGAGCCCAATGACTTCCGCTACAAGTTCAGCTTGTGCGTTTCCGGCGTGGATAGACCGGAGACGGTAGAATAGAATTAGGATATGGGTCGGGGAAAACTCGTTGTTCTAAAACGAGCCCGATCCCACGCCAGCGAAACGTAGCAATGAAAGTGGTTCAAGATAAGAAAACAACCCACCTGGATGCTTGACTCGGGCCCATCCACCGACCCCATCAGCGACACCCATGGCATTTTCGCGCACGAAATAAGCATCTTCCCCGACCTGTACGGCAAGCGGTGCATCCGTATAAGATTCCTGATACGCGTTTGTGTGCATGGCGCGAACACGATGCCCACGTTTGGGGATTCCATACGCGCCGACATCTAGCATATATCGTTTGCCGCCCCGACGATGTGAGCGACCGCCATTGCTTGCGGGGGCAGACGATGGCTTAGGTGTAGGCCCGGGGTTGTATGGAAAGAGTAGGGCAAGTTGGGCAGGGTGTGATGATTGATGGGTGGGCGAATGGGGTGAAGCGAGAGCCAACGGGGCATGGGTGGGATGTGGGTTGGTGTTTGGAGCCTCTACCTCGCCACGAGCTTCAATTGGTAGTCTGTGTGTTGTGAGACGGGTGTTTGGGGGTGGTGGCGGGGGAGTGTCGAAGAAAGAGGCGAGCGGTAAAGTAGTTGGGTTGGTGTAAAGTGCGCGAGACGCAGAATTTGAGCGTACTCTGCCAACTCGGGGCAAAGCTGTATAGAACCGTGGATGCTTCATAGCTGCAAGTCACAGAACCAGCCAAGATGCAGAGTAACCCAGAACCCAAAGCCCGAGATGGTGTTGGTACTTGGTAGAAATATGAAGAGCCGGGGAGAATCGGCTAGAATCGGCTCCCCCGCATGTGACACAACTTG